ACGATCTCTTCTGTGGATTTCTTTGTTTCTTCTTATTCTGGAATGCCAATAATTCTTACATTATTCCTCTTCATGTTATCCAGCATGAATCTTAGACTCATTTCAGATTGTTTTATCCTTTTAACTGCTTGCTCTTCTACATTGGCAATATTGAGAGATCTGTCTTCTAGCTCGCTAGTTCTGGCTTCCATCTCTTCTAGTCTGCTCCTTTCCCCTTTCAGGCTATTGTCTATTTCTGATATCTTATTATTGATCACCTGGGCATCTTTTTGCAGGTTTTGAATTGTTTTCAATGCTGTGTCAATCCTATTTGATTGTTCCTGGAGATTTTTTTTTAACTTCTTCCTTATTTTCCTCGACCCCTTTTCAGATTATTTGAATTTGTTTCCATATCATTCTTCTGAATTCCCTCTCAGGCATATCCAAAACCTGCTCCTCCTTCTCTATAAAGCCTTTGTCTGTCTCCAGTTCATTTGTGTCAGCTCCTTTCTTCTGTTTTTGGACATGCTTTGATAAAGTTGATTGTTTCTTATTGGTCATGGTTATTGTTTTATTATTATTATTATTATTAATGTAATCAGGAGATGGGCTTCCCTTTTCATCTGTAATGTGTAGCAAATGTTGTTGGGTCTCGTCTAAGTGGTGGAATATTATGTTGTAGCTTGGCTACATGGCCACGATTGCTACTTCTTCTTACGGGGCGTAGGGAGGATAAGTTCCCACCTCCAGGAGGGATGTGTAGTCAAAAAGACTAAAAGCAGAAGTAATATAAACGCATGGACAGAAATCACCACTTTGGAGCAGATATGTGGTTTGGTTAACTTTTTCTGTTCCCTGTCCCTGCCGACTTTCTCACACTCTCCATGTGTGGGTGAGCTGTACCTGGCTGATTTTTATTGGGATCTCAAGCCAGGGAGGGGAGACTTGGGGTGGGAGGAAGTTATATTGCCTTTTGCCCTGGCCCCGCCCTCTAAACTTTGCAGTCACAGGAGTGACCTGCAGTCCCCGCAGGAAAGAGTCCCAAAATACGTGCTTTTCTTTATCCTTATTAGCGCGATTTCTCAAAAATTTGAGTCCAGGAGAGTTTATGATAGTTTAAAAGCTGTGGGACTGGTCTATGAATGTTTCCTTTGTGAGATCCCACTCATTTTTCCCGCCGGAGCACGTCCCTATCTTTCCTGGCTGTCCTGCCATACAGGAAGTCCTTCATTAATTTTTTGAAGGCCTTTCATATATATGGCCTTATTAGGAAATAGGGTGTTTTATTATGTTAACGATGACATGCCAGGAGTAGGTGGGTCCTAAGCTTAATCCTTTCTGAACAGTGTGCTATGAAAAGAAAATACAAATGCAGTGATACACCCCAGGAAGACACCACAGATGATCGATAAGCAGCCACCAGAAACTAGAAGAGAGACCCACTCAAAGAACTGAAACAGCTGTTGCCCCACTTTGGACTTCTGGTTTTCAGACCGCTAAGAAAATTAATTTGTTTTGAAAACCACACTTGCCTGCTAACCCAAAAGACAGCATTTTGAATCCACCAGCCTCTCTGTTGGAGAAAGAGGGAGCAGTCTGCTCCCATAAAGATTGTTGTTAAGTGCCTTCTAGTCCGGACTCACAGCGAGTGTATACAGGGTTTACTAGGAGCTTGAACTGCCGACCTTGTGGCTCAAATTGACCTTGCAGGCCAGTTCATTAACCTGCAGCTCCACACCAGGACTCCTGTAAAGATTGTTGTTGTTAAGTGCCGTCAAGTCAATTCCAACTCATAGTAATACCGTTTAGGGTTTCTAATGAGCAACTGGTGGGTTTGAACCACATACCTTACTGCTCAAATGGACCTTGCAGCCCAGTGCATTAACCCACAACGCCACACCAGGACTCCCATAAAGATTAGAGTCTTGGAAACCCTATGATGCAGTTCTACTCTATCCTAACAGGTTGCTGTTGAGTCGTAATCGACTTGACAACTTGGGTTTTTTTATTAAATGTGTGGGGCAGGGGTTGCAGTGAAGCCACTCTCTGATGGCATTTGTGTTACACCACCACTTGGAACTATTAAGATAGTTTTACCTCAAGCCTTAAAGAGGCCTTCCCTGACCATGTGAAGTATCTACTGCCACCTCAACCCTCATTTTATCTCATCACCATTTAATTGTCCTAAATAACCCTGGTGGTGAGTTGGGTTGCTAACTGCAAGGCCAGCAGTTTGAATCTACTGTGGGAGAAAGACTCTACTGTAAAGACTTACAGCCTCAAAAACCCTATACAGGATCACTGAAGTTGGAACTGACTCGACAGCACATCACCACCACCCACCAATATTCTTTCTGTGCTTGTCTGGAATGTAAGGGCCAGGGCAGTGGGCCTTGTCTGTTGTGTTCTGTGTTGCATCCACAGCACCTGCTCAGTAAATTCTTTCTTGGTGATTTAGAATTAACTTCTAGTTCCCCGTCACCGATTTTAGTTTTCAGGCTAAAGATAATATTCCAGTAATGGTAAAAAGTTACTTTCTTTTGTATATCCTTGTGGAGTAAAGAGTTTAGTTGAAATTAGCCAGGTGGCCTTTGTCCTTGGATCTGGGAAATAATCCTTGGAGTAACTGGGATGTCTTGGTCTGGGACCTCCAGGACACACATGATTTTTGCTGGGGAGTGGAGCACAGAACACACACCAGGGAGGCCGCCACCAACTAGCCTCAGGAAGCATGATTTAACCTATCATATAGAACTGCCTGACATAAGCCTGGAATACTAAGGGTCAGAAGAGTCTCCCAGTCAGCAAAGGAAGATATGCCCTTTTTGAGACCCAAGAGCTCCGTGTACTGGAAAGCTTCCAGATGATGACCCTGACCTAGCCTTCTGCTATAACAAAACTGCTATCTTCCACGAGTTCGGTGAGTCATTCCAGTGACTTAAATGAACCCTACGACAGTGTTTCTTTGACCTGTGAGATGTGCCCTAGCTCCAGGGTGCTCCAGCATGGGCAGCTGGTATCAGAAGTGGGAAAGTAGCTACTGGATCAGTTTCCAAATTTTGAAGATCAGAACCATGCGCCTTTTTCATCATTGTGATCCTGGAATGAGAGTTTGTTTTCTCATATTTTCCTGATGAGGGTGTTGAAGGGTTAATGAAAGTAGAAACATGAGTTCGCTTAACAAAGATTATTGAGTACAAGCTATATCTAAATGCATCGTACACACTCCAATCACAAGTTTGATACTGAAAATGCTTTGACCTTTTTTAAAAAAATAAAATAATCCTAGTTATCTTTACCATTATTCAAATCTGGGGAGACTGGGAGTGAAGAAGGAGTCTGCTTCAAATCATGCTAACATGGCTACTTGAAGATTTTCTTGGAGCCCTGGTATGATGCTGTGGGTTAATTCACTGGACTACAAGGTCGGTGGTTTGAACTCATCAGTAGCTCCTTGGAAACCCTATATACAGGGTCACTCTGGGTTGGAATTGACTCAGAGGCACTTAACAACAAGGAGCTTTTGCTTGGAGGTGCTCTCTGAAAAAGTTGCTCTAAGTGCTGTCGAGTCAGTTCCGACTCAAAGGGACCCTGTATAAGATTTCCAAGGCTGTATATCTTTGTTGGAGCAGAGTCTCATCTTTGTCCTGCAGAAGCTGATGGGCTTCAACCACTGACCTTGTGGCTCGCAGTCCAGTGCTTATCCTACAGAGGGTATCCCTAATTGATAGCACCTGTGTCCTGCTGGGCTCAAGCCCCCATACAACCATTGCAAAAAAATTTCTTCTTAAACTCAGAATTCCAGCCTCGCATTCTACTAAAAAAACAAAATCTCTTACCAAATTCTGAATAAAGACAAAAAAAGGAAAAAGAAATTTTTATTAAAAATTTAAATTGTTTTCAAAAGTTTATACATACAAACAGGTCATCCCACCATAACATGGACTTGTAAAGTCACTGATAAGCAGATACAAGTCAATCTACAAAAACAAGCTTCAACTACTTAACCCCACACCCCACTGCCTACTTGCACCCGGAATAAACCCACTCACTCCAAGAGGGAAACCAAACACTTACAGACCCGTCCCTAAGCTGCGGATGCCTCAGTGACCTGCCTGATGAAGGGGAGGGAGGTTCCCACCAGAACCACCCTGGCTCTACCTCAACCAGAGAATGTGCCCTCCACCTCTCAGCAGGCTCAAGCATGGATCAGGAGGCCATGACTTTCTGCTAAGCGGGGCTTCCCTAGCCAGTGGCTCTCAACAATGGCTTCACATTAAAATCCGAGGAAAATTAAAAGCAAATTCTAGTACTGGAGCCTGGATCAATGACGTCAGAATCTCTGGGCCTGGAGCCTGAGCAACTTTGTGATTCCGATGCTGGGTGAGGTGGGAGCCAGAAAGTTCTTTCTTCCTCAACCCTCACCTTCTTAGAAGTTTTGTGTTCAGATTAAACATGTGGCATGTTTGATAGATACACTTCTTGAATAATGAAGTTATGATATACGGATGCTGTTTCTACCACTCATTTACAAAAGATTTTAAGAAATAGAGCACCCAGATTTCATTAAAAAAAAAAATTTATTTTGATATAAAAGTGCCAAAATATCCACCAATGTCGTAATCTATCTCAACAACCAGTTTACACAACTAGAAATCAAAACACAAGCCTCTTTATTCACATTGTTTAAAAACCAGATTCCTGTCACACATTCCCACAGTAACTCGAGTCTCTAGACAGCGGGAAGTTGGCATTCCTATTTGCTGTGGTAGTCCATATGTCCAGGTTCATATAGGCACGAAAGGGGTTAAAGCCTGGGTAGTATTCTTTGCACATGACTGCCTGGTTTTCCATGTGAGGTGCATGTTCTGTGGTGGAGTTGATGGGGCAGCAATTTTCATAGACATCGCTTTGTGGGGCCCAGATGGAACCAAACAGTCCAGACATTGGAGACAAGCTTCGGGTGCTTGTGAGGTAGGGCTGGAGAGTAAATGGAAACGGGTAAAAAAAAAAAAAGAAGAAATGTTACTTAAAAAACAAAAAATTCACAGGCAAATATTGAGGTTGAATAATAGTACATGTATATGCCACAATGATATCATCTCAAACTGTTGTTTTTGTTGTTAGCTGCCATCAATCAATATAGACTCATGGCAACTCCACATATGGCAAAGAAGAACTGCTTCACAGGGTTTTCTTGACTAATCTACAAAATCAGGCCTTTTTCTCCTTGGTCGTACTAGAAGATTTTGAACTGCCAACTTTTAAATTTTAAGTCAAGCACAAAACCATTGGCATCACCCAAGGACTTTCAACCCAAGTTGCTTGGAAGACACTAAGCTATTCTCACAAATGTGGGTTGTTTTAACTCCATTTCTCTTGAATGGAGGCTTATGAAATCCTCATCCGACTGGATACATGCATTTATAATCCAAGAGAGGGTCTGCATATTTTCTCTAAAACTATATAACACTCAGGAGTGGACATGGAAGAGGGAAAGCATGGACTCTTCGGGATGGTGAGGTGTTCACAGACAAAAATGCAAAGGCCAGCAAGGCCACCTACGAGAGCTGGGTCAAACACAGGGCTTCCTGGCCCAACTTCAACTTTATCTACAAGCGAGCATGCCTCTGTGTAATCTGAGATGTCTTTTTCCATTTAGGGGGTGAGGGTGGAGGCCTAGAATGTCAAAGTCTGCAAACCCCCACCAGGTTCCTTCAGAGAGTGGCCAGCCCTAGCTTCTATGATCTAAAAGAAACAAGTAAAATTTGGCTGATTCAAACCCGACTCTTAAAAGTAGTTGAAAGAAACACTGGAAATGGCTGGGGGCTGCCCGGGGACTCAAGGCCCAGGATTGGCGAACACTGACCGGAGAGTTAACGAAACTGGCTTGTCCCCAAGCAGTCGGCATGTTGGCTGGGGTGTTCCAGGTAGACTGAGAGCTGTGATCAATAAAGTCTGTCTGAACGTCTGCAGGGCAAGGGAAGCCATTAGGGAAATTCATGTTTTCTACAAAGAATGGGAGAGATCAACATAGGTAAACATTTTAAACAGATTTTTAAATTTTTTTAAATAAATGTTTTTATTGTGAATTATGTGATAGTTTACATGGGAGAACATTAGTTTTACATTCATCCTATCGTATATCGTTTCATTGCCACAGTTACAATCCCCTCCATGCATCATCAACCAACCAAAGGGTATATCCTGCAAGCTTGCCCCCTGGTCGTCAGCACACAGCCCCTCTCCCTCTCTGGGTCTAGAGTCCTCAGCTGCTCCATCGCTCCACATCATCGTCTCTGCCTCCATCTCAGGCATCACTGCTTCTCTGGGTAGGGTCCTGCTCTCCGCTTTTCTCCGTTGATGGTCCTAGGGACCTCTGCTCCTAGACTGGAAAGTTAATCACTCCCCTCCTTGCTATAAAATGTCCACCTTTACATTTCCAACCCTCACAATCAGTCCTGATAACAATTATTCGCTATTGTATCACAAAAGACCCATCTGCATTTCATTGCATCAGCCCTGCCTAGACAGATTGAATACTACTCACTGGAGATTCTACCTTCCTCCATGCCCTCTGGATCTAGGTTCCCTCTTGAAAGCTTGTAAGCCAGTCACTTCTTGCCTTTGTAGCCGCCCCGCCCCTCTCATTTTGGGTAGCAAATGTCCAAGTTGCCCATCCTTGTCTACTCTGTGTGTGGAGGGGGTGGGAATGATTCTTGTTGTAAAGATTTGTTCCCTCTTTTGAGCTACTGCATCCATAGATGTAGGTCAAGTTCATCAAATTGTATCAGGTTACTCTTTTTTTCCTCTTCTTTCTTTTTCTGGTTGAGATCTGATCATCCAGTCATTGAAGCCAGGTCAAGTGAGTATTATCTGCAAGTGTGGGTGTTCTTGTGCATATCCCCTCTCCTCTTATCATCTGGACGCTTCACTCTCCACTCTAGTCCTCTGTGGCTATGTCACTGACTCTGGGCCCAAGAGTCCCCAGGTCTTGCCACACTGCTGGCCAACCAGGTCTTCACCTGGGTTCACAGGAGTCTATTGAACATTGTAGGGCTTAGCTCGCAGCTTCATTGCTGTTTTTCCCTCACTTCCCCTTATGGATGACGAGCATGGTCACCAATCAGAGCGTGTATTCCCATTGAGTCTTAGTCTTGGAAGAGGGTTTGCATTGAGGGGACTCGACCACTTGCCTTGATGTCTCCTGGGCAAGCAACTTGCTTGTACTTGTAGTAACAGTCGGTCTAACGGATTTTTTAAAAAGAAGTCTCTCTCAGGTATAAAAAGCTTACACCACCACCTTAGTCTACTGGCACATTAAAGAGAGACATAAAATACTTACTCACTGTGGGTCAGAGAGACAACTTCACTATTATTCTCAAGGTTAAAATGGTTTCTATGAGACATACCCCCTGGAAAGTCCTTGGTAAGCAAAGTCTTTGTCTGGGTTTGTCTTTCTATATCTGATCATTTGATAGGGATCTTCCTAACACATGAAGTACTACATAGATTTTAATATTGTCAAGATGTTTCACCATTCCTTAAATTTTCTTTCATTAAATGTTCTAACAATCTGGCACCCCCACATATAGTTCACGGGCTGATAAAAGCAGTATGAAACTAAAAGCAATGTGAAACCAAGCACTTTTTAGATGTCAGTAAGACAGTAAACACAAAGCCATGGTATAATTATATGGAAGAAAGGGACTACTGCACCCTCTTGTGGTTATCACAGAGAGGTGCATATATCAAAATCCAATCCTTGCAATATCTATTTTGTTGTTGTTGTTGTTGTTGTTGTTAGGTGCCATTGAGTTGGTACTGATTCTTAGCAACCCTATGTATAACAGAACAAAACACTGCCTGGTCCTGTGCCAACCTCCCAATCGTTGCTATGCTTGAGCCCAATGCTGCTGCCACTGAAAATCCATCTTGTTGGGCTCTTCCTCTTTTTTGCAGACCCTCCACTTTATGCAGCATGATGTCCTTCTCCAGGGACTAGCCCCTCATGACAATCTGTTGACAGTGAGAGACAAAGTCTGGCTATCTTGGCTTCTAAGGAACATTTTGCTGTACTTCTTCCAATACAGATTGGTTTGAATTTCTGGCAGTCCGTGGTACTTTTTAATATTTTCCAAGACCATAACTCACAAGCATCAATTCTTCTATGGTCTTTTGTATTCACTGTACAATTTTCACATGCATTTGAGGTTACAGGTGCACCTTAGTCCTCAAATTGACATTTTTGCTCTTCAACACTTTAAAGAGGTCTTGTGTAGCAGATTAGCCCACCTGAAGAAGCCCTGGTGGCACAGTGGTTAAGCATTTGGCTGGTAACTGACATGTTGGCAGTTTGAACCCACCAGCAGCCACTCTGTGGTAGAAAGATGTGGCAGTTTGCTTCCATAAAGATTACAGCATTGGAAACCCTATTGGTAGTTGTTCTTGGTCCTAAAGGGTCGTTAGGAGCAGTAACTGACTCAAAAGCAACAGATTTGACTTGAGTTTATAATACCCCTGCTTATCTGTTCCTTGAGAAGACAACTCTATCTTGATGATGAGAAATCATCATCAAGAATATAGCACGCAACCTACCAAATAAAGAACCACAATGGGAACCTTTTCCTGTTGACTAGGAAATCCCATAGCTCTAATTGATTATTGCAGATGCTTAGACCCAAACATCTGCCAATTTCCCACCCAAGCTCCTTTCCCTCCTTCGGCAGCACCAGCCGGGCATAAGAGTTGCTGAGCAAGCAGGTGAAATGTCTCTACTTTTGCTGTGACTTGCCTGCCTAAAAAGAATAGTTCAAAACCCCAGCAACTAAACAGATAAGCCAGAAAACTGGTGTGGTTGTTAGCTGCCACACTGAACTGATTCTATCTCATATAGGCCATATGAATCCAAAGCCTAATTTGGTGAGCTAAAAGGACTAGGGTTGTATGTAAAAACCCTGAGACACTCAGTTTTCGAGGGTGCTTTGAGAGTCATATAAGATGCACAAATGGATCCACATGGTGTTCCAGCAGCATGCTGTAAAATCCTTCTCAAAGACAGCCACCATTGGAAGGTACATTCTTCTGCAGTCTAGCACCTTAAGTTCACACACTTCCTGCTCTGACTATATAAAAATAAAGCATGGCATTAAGATTGTGCAAGTAGCTTTTACCTTCTGGAAAGGCATTGTAATCGCTCAGCTCCAATGGGCAGTACACATTGGGAAACTGGCCTTCCAAAGTTGTGCTCCAGTCAATGAAACCGCTACAAAAGAAAGAAAGAAAAAAAAAAAAAAAAAGAGAGGCCTAGTTTCAGAAACAGAATGTCCAGAGAGCAAGCAAAGAAAGCAGAAGACAATTTTTAAAGGGCATAGAATTGGGGAGGATTATCACATTTTAAGAGGCTCTTCTAACTTTTCAATCATAAATCTGCATGCTGCCTTAACCCAGCATCTTAATCATTGCTAAATCCTCGGTTTTGTAAAGTCACAGAATTGAGGCTGCACTAACTACACACTCATGAAGGTGGCATACAGGCTTGCAAGACAAATGACTCAGGCTGGGAGCACACTTCATTCAGAACCATGTCTGCCCAGCTTAACTAGGCACCGAATCCAAGGTCTTGGCTCTACTAACACCTAGGCTACCTGGTAAGTGTCACAGCACCTACCTGAAGAATTATGTTTTTCACATTCCACTGTTAAAACTTACACTCTTCATTCAGACTACCATTCATTTTAGATTAACCACAGCTATCATGATTATATGCTTTAGGAGAGATACTTCAATCACTACTGCAAACCAGATTCGCATTACGAAGTAGAAATAATAGTCAATACTGCTATAAATAAGGAGCTCTGGTAGTGCAGTGGTTACAAATCGGGCTGCGAACCTAAAGGTCAGCAGTTCGAAATTACTAGCTGCTCTGTGGGATAAAGATGAGGCTTTCTGCTCCCGTAAAGATTTACAGCCTTGGAAACCCTGTACAGGGTCGCTATGAGTCGGAACCGACTCCACGGCACATAACCACCACCACTGCTATAAATAAGCTGGACAACAATAACAAAAAGCAAAAAGATTCTGTGAGATTAAGCAATGATATTAATAGATTCTTAGGTTTACCTAACTGAATGGCTTAGTAACATCAGTGATTTTAGGAAACTGTCATTGGGTAACTATTTTTCAATACTTGAACTATTTTGTTCTTTTAGACTTTTAACTATGTTGAAGATGAACACCATGGGAAAATGCCAAAAAACCAGTAGCCACTCTGTTAGGGGATGGGGAATTATGAGTATTTATTGTTTTGGGGTGTTGGTTTTTTTTTATTATTCAAATTAAATATACCATCTTTCCAATTAAAAACAGGAAAGTAATGTTATGGTCTCCAGCTATATTACTTTTATTTCCTTTAATGTTTCTTTGAATGGCTGGTTTGTTGCCTACTAGAAACATGACAACGCAACTCTAAAAGGCAGACAGAAATACAAGCTGAAGTACACTGGGGGTAGGAAGCTTGGTCCTGATTCTTGTAAGGACTACCTAAACACACTGAGTTCAAATTCTGACCACAAGCCTTTAGACTCAGCAAGATGCATATAAGAGATATGAAGCTATACCTATTATGAACCGAGGGAGGCTCCCGCATCACACAAGGCACGCTGTTCTCAAGATTGCAGTTTAAGCTGTTTGCCAGACACACGGGCTTGGTGGGCCACAGGTCTCCAGGTGGGTAAAGACCTACGGAAAAGAACAAGGACCCTCAGTACATTTTGTGCTCCACTTAGCCCTCACTCTTCCCTTCCTTCAAGGCCTAGCTCAAGTTCTCTCCCCTCCAGAAAATTCTCCCTGATGTCATCCCCACACACCAGTCTTTTGCCTTCCCGTCGCCCTCTTTCAGGATGTTACTTCAGGATATAATGCTGAAGTACAACATACTGCTTTGACCTTGATTTCAGGAGGTAGAGAACTCACCTCCTGATTTGAATTATACTATCAGTTTGCTCAACAAATATCCGGGGCTCTTTTAGGGAAGTTACTGTTAACCGGCACCAAGAATACAGCAGTGAGCAGCTGTACCTTCAGACTGAATCGAACCAACAAGGAAGTTAAGTAAGACATACATGTAACGTGACAGATGGTGGTTAAGAGCAATGACGACAAACAGCAATTTTAAACAGGGCAGCTGAAGGCCTCACTGCGGTAACATCTGGTGTCACCATATGTGAATCTGGTGAAGAAGGGAGTGAAGAAGACGTCAGGAAAGGATGTTGCAGACTGGGGAAACCTCCTGCAAAGTCCAGCAAGGACACTGTGCGGCCAGAAAGGAGTAGGGGTGGGAAAAGGTGGTAGGAGAGGAGGTCATAGATTCAGTGGATCCCAAAGGGATCTTTTCTTCGCTGTTGCCTGCTGGGTAGACATCAGGAGTAAATGATAGAAGGAGTGTGTGTAAGTGCATCGGGGAGAAGGCTACGTACCCCTAGCCTGAACCATCAGAATGCCGCCCCTCACCCACCCACCCCCGCCAAGTATTTAGAGACACGATACTTTATAAGCATTGGGGTGCTAACGGCAAGGTCAGCAGTTTGAACCCATCAGTCACTTGGCAAGAGAAAAATGAGGTTTTCTGCACCCATAAAAATGTATAGTCTCGGGAACCCTACACAGGCTTGCTATGAACTTGATAGCACTTACAAGTGCTTCTTGTAACTTACAAGTTCCAAGAAGTAACTCGATAGCACTTAACAACAGCCACAACATAGTAACCACAGGTCAACCTTGACTAAGACAACTCTAGGGGCCAGCACAGTCAAATGAGGAAGAGTAGATTCAGACTTAAGGCTGGGCTGTGGCCTGAGTTCTCTCATTGGTTTGATGTAGTTGGAGGTCGTAAGGACAGAGCAGAACTGCTCCATCCGGCTTCTGAAGCTATACATCCCACAGAGCAGCTGCTGGCTTTGAACTATCAAGCTTTAGATTAGCAGACTGATGTTTAGCCCCCTGCACCATCAGAGCTCCTCACACTCAGGTGATGGTTGAGCGTGCCGTGGAGACAATTCCGACTCACAGCCACCCTGTACAGGGTTTCCGATGCTGTAAATCTTTACAGGAGCAGAAAAGTCTTATCTTTCTCCCATGGAATGGCTGGTAGTTTCAAACTGTTGTTCCTGAGGTTAGTAGCCCAACTTGCAACCAGAGTTCCTTTCTCACTCAGGTAGTCCTCCAAAAACCAAACAGTAGATTTAATCAGTCACACTGATCTGGGAACTTTGGGGTTGACCAGCCAGTCAGGCCATGCTGGCGTGCCCTCCCCCCGCCCCACTTGATACAAGTCCCACTTTGGGGAGCCCAACAACTACGAACAACACTTTCTTTGCAGGGCACCACACCTCCCTCCAGAACTGTGCATCTTGTGTGGAAGCCAAATATTCACTTAGATCCTTCCTGAAAGCACAGACGTGCACCTTTGTTGTTATTGTCAGGTGCCACCAAGTCAGTTCTGACTCACAGCAATCCCACACACAAGACAACGAAACAATGCCCGGTATTGCGCCATCCTCACAATTGCTGTTACTCTTGAGCCCACTGCTGTCACCATGCCAGCTCACCTCACTGGGGTTCTTCCTCTTTTTCACTGACCCTCCATTTTACCAAGAATGGTGTGCTTCACCATAAGGGTGGCAATAAGAAACCATCAAATGTTTAAGGAATCACCACATAACCTTCAGGTGGCTGTGGCAATCTTTCCAAACGAGTCTATCTTTGCTTACTTGGAATTTTACTTAATAATCCCAGACAGCTGTTTGCTTCCCAGACAGCTAATTTGTTACTTTTGCCCACTTTCCAGGCAATTATCCCAGGAGAGGACTCATCTAATTAGAATGCCTGGGAGGTACTGACGTCAACCTCAACTCACAGACCAGGGTTGTTAAGGAAGAGAATACTGCCCTAGACGTTCTCTTTGTGGGTCAAGGTGGAATCGTTGTGCAATCACTAGTACATACTGCTGCCTTGGTGGCACTGTGGGTAAGCACTGGGCTACTGGTTTTGGAAGAAGTGCAGCCAGAGTGCTTCTTGGAGGCCAAGATGGCCAAACTTTGTGTCTCATACTTTGGACATACTGTCAGGAGGGAACAATTGCTGGAGAAGGATATCATATTTGGTAAGGTGGAGGGTCAGAGAAAAAGAGGAAGACCCCCAACAAGATGGACTGACCAAGTGGCAGCACTGATGGACTCAAGCGTGGCAACAATAGTGAGGTTGGCCCAGGATCGGACAGTGTTTCGTTCTACTATGCCTAAAGTCGCTATGGGTCGGTACCCACTCGATGGCACCTAACAACAACAACTGGTGTGGTGCTGCAGGATAATGTGCTGGACTCCAAGGTTGGTTTGAACCACGAGGTCGGTGGTTTAAGCTCACCGGCCACTCCTCAGAAACCTGATATATATACAGGGTTGCTCTGAGTTGGAACTGATTTGAAGGCACTTAACAACAACAACTAACTGCAAAGTTGGAAGTTCTCACACTGTGAGAGACAGATGAGGCTGTCTGCTCCAATACAGATTTGTTGAAGTACTGAAAACCCTACTGAGTATCCAGTCTGCCTGAGTGGGTTGTTCAATGGCAGTGGATTAATGCTTCTGGCCAAATAGAAAGATCAATATGGAAACCTATGGAGACAGTCTCCTGGTTCTCAAAAGCAGATCGTGACAGTTTCTAGGATTTGTTTGTGTGATTGTGTCTGAGACTCTATAGGGCATGCTTAAGGTAAATATTGCAGGGTGGTTTCATCCTGCTGGTTGGAGTCCTATTAATACAGAAGCTTTACTTAAATGTTGCATGAGACCAAATTGAACAGATTTCTTCTCAACTCTGTAGAGTCAGATTAATCAAGAATCGATGATTTAATGGTATATACCTCAGAAAATCTACCATGAGTCAAGATTATATAGAAAGAAGGGGGCCTTCAAAGAAGTTCATAGAAAAATGGAATTTTTTTCACAAACTTTTTGAAGTGCCTTCATACAGTGTTGTGAGACAATTCTCTATTGATCAGTTACATTTCTAAACTTCTTACAAGTTAAAGGACTGACCCTTTATTAGGATCTATTTTTCCAAGGATAATTATTAAGTAAAATCTCAGAAAATAGAAAATGTTTCCCTCTGGAACAAAAGGCAAGTTTGCTTAATGTCTCATATAATGAAGGTAATGTCTCTTGCCCATTGTAAAACATTTGGGTTCCCTAAACTCATGAACTGGTGTACAATGCACTGGTAGTATAGGCAGCTAGCTGCCTAGGCCCATTTGCATTGCCCCTCGGGACTGGGGACAAGAGTAACTGACACAACGTGCAGATGTTCATGCTGCTGACTGTGCTACAAATCTTTTGTCTCTGATCCTGGAGTGTCTTGTCTTCTGTCACCATCTACAAAATCATGGCAGGCTGACTTGTTAGCTTACAAGTCAGGTAAAATCTCAGACTCTTTACAGCTGTTGACAGTGCCATGACTTGGCATGCTCCATCCTGATCCCGGTGGTACTGTGCTAACACGAGACAGGACGGTATGTTGGAGTGAAAGTACAGCAAGAAGATCTGTTAGGAAGTTCCTGTGACAACCCAAGTGAGAGACAATAACGGCTGGAGACCATGGTAAGGAGACAGAGGGAATGATTACATGATCAGATTGTAGTTCTCTCTGGAAGGGGATGACTAACAGAATAAGACAACAGATAGGATATGGGATCAATAAGAAGAGAAAAAAAAGTCAAGGATAATGTTTAAATTTCTGGCCTGAGCAATTAGAAAGTATGAATGGGAAGACAAGGAGAGAGGCAGGTTTAAAGAAGATTAAGCATCCTAACAGGTTTGGGACACTTGTTAGAAATTAAGTAAAGCTATCAATTGACAGTTAGTTGTAAGATCCTGGAATTTAAGAGAGTGGTCCAGGCTGAGGATATAAATTTAGGGGCTGTCAGGGTCTAGGTAAGATTGAAAGCTCTGGTTAAGATGAACAAGGAAGTTTACACAGGGAAGGGAAGAAAACAGCACCCAAATCTGATGCTGGAGTGCTCTACTATCATGAGAGGTGGGGAGGAATCAAGAAACTGAACTGGGGCCCCTGAGGTTTCCTAGTAAGAACAGAATGTCTAATGTCTACAATGAACATGCAGACTGACTGAACATTGAGGAGATTTAACATATGGTAAGCACTGGAGTGGTGTCAAAACCAAATTAGAGTGGTGGTCAAGGGAGAGTGAAGGGGAAACTATCTGACTCAGCAAGCACAGGCAACGCTAAGGAAGGACCCAGAGAAACGGAGCAGCAGGTGAAGTAGATCAAGAAAGAATGTTTGGGTTGATTTTGTTTTGTTTAAATATGGGCAGTATTACAGTATATGTGTGTATTAAGGAGAGAAAAACTGATGAAGAAGGGAACAAGAAATTTTCCAAGACAATTATCACTGGAGATAAGGGCTATGCAGCTAAGTGAACAGGTTACAAGAAGGAAGCAAAGACTAACACAATAGTGAATGGTAGGTAGATGGGGCAGAGGGAGCTTTCTGGAGGTTTCTAATTGCTTCTCTCTTGTTCTCAATAAAATAGCAAACAAGGTGACGTGACAGGAAGATACTGCAAGGAAAGCGGGGGCATGAAGGAGGAGCCAGGAGAACGCAGCAGTGAGACCCAGGTGAAGTTACAAAAGCCCTGGTCACGAGTCAATTCCGACTCACAACGACCCTATAGGACACAGCAGAACTGTCTCAAGGCTGGAATGTTCACAGGAGTAGACTGCCACATCTTGCTTTCACTGAGTGGCTGGTGGGTCCAAACTGCTCAGTTAGCAACTGAGTGCTTAATTACTGTGTCAGCAGAGAGCCTTATCATTAGACATTAGGAGTCATGAAGGTTGAAGGACAGTCAGCATGTTTGTTGTTTGTATGCTGTTCTCCAGCTTCATAGGAACAGGTAGAGCAGATAGAGAATTGGGTGAAATTGAGGTAAATGCAACGAAGAAAGAGAGGACCAGGAAGTGATTCCAAACTATTCAGGTTTCAGCTGGGCAGCAACCCAAGTCTAGGGATGGCAAATAAAAGGGATTTGAGGTGCTCACAGAAACACACAAATGAGGACACCAGATTACATGTAATTCTCTCTCCAACTGGCAACAACAAATGTCAGAGGAAACCTTTTTCATATACTTTTTGTTTGTCTTCGTCATTCACTAAATTCTATTTCTCCTCTATGATCTCAAAGAAAAACAGGAGTATCAACTAAACTGCCCACCACATCTTGCTTCAGCAAGTCACTGATTACAGAACTTAAGAATTCTTACCGAAAAACACTTATTTAAGTGGACTAGTGAATAGAAATAACTCACAACTAATTTTCACTGATTATTTGAAAGCCTTTCCAAATTGTACCCAAGGAACAGCACAGATGCTAATGTTCCCAAAGTAAATGCCCTAAAGTGTTCAGCAGTTTTTCAAATCAACATTAACGTGTATGCACAAAAGCAAATATATGTATTTAAACTAAATGATGCCATGGAAGATAAAAAAAATTCATTTATCTTACCACAATTCCTGACCCGAATTAAGTAGGGGAGAGGGGATACAATACAACATAGACAAAAAACAAGGCCAAAGAGAGAGAAAAGAGGAGAAAAAGCACCAGAGAGAACTAGAGTTGTTCACTTTGTCCAGCAGAGAGTCCCAGGAGTGGGATTCCCTTCTGACCCACTCCTAGGTCACTGCCCTCGCCAACCTGGCAGAGGGCTGCAGGTGCTCAGCTCTGGGTCTCAGCTCTAGTGCATGAACTAGGCTGGCCACCAAAGACACCAAGGCAGAATTCAGACGCTTCTAGAACAGGATGGTCTAGTAGTAATGGTTACGACTTGGGCTGCGAACCGCAAGGTCAGTGGGAGAAAGCTGAGGCTTTCTGCTCCCGTAAAGATTTACAGCCTCGGAAACCCTGTTTAGGGTCGCTATGGGTCGGAACTGAGTGGATGGCACTTAACAACAACAACAGGACAAAGTGAGTTTGGGAAGGGACAAGAGAGGGCCAGGAATGTGGCAGCGGTAGCAGACCTACTCTCCAACCTGGCCTCTACTCCCGTGGGCTGTGCCTTCACATTTCCACTTTGCTTTCTCATCTCAGACTAGGAAAGGGGAACTAAAAGCAGTGGAAGTACCGTATAAAGGGGTTCTGGGTTGTATCTGGGGCACAGAACACCCTGTGCCTCTGAAACAAGCAGGGAGCTCAGCACCACTGCACACAGTCTGGAGGCAAAAGGGCCAGCAAGGCTCTTAGTGACGTCCGTCCCAGGGCAGCATGACAAGGTTTAGAGAAGTGAGCACTGGGGAAATAGCCCTGCTCCATCCAACTCCACTCTTTCTTCTCCAGCTCACCAACCAGTAAGGCAAAGTGGAACTCACGACTGGTGTCTGTGTAAGGAGAGCAAAACACCTCACCTTTATCTTCATCCACACCTGATGGTACGTCAGGGAGGCTGGGGCAGGGAGCTTCAGCATACTGTGCGAGAGAACTCACGTCTCTGGAGGGAAAGTGAGAAACTATGGATTGGTTTTCTAGCCAAGGAAATCGTCACATTGTACAAATCAAGCCTGACTGAGTTTTTACATGAATTTCTACCACCACAACGACCACCACCACCCATGCAAGAGCCTGTGGTATTAGAGCCATTAACAAACACAGACAAAAAGGGGTTGCAGAATATTAAATGCCAAAGATTAGCAAAGTCTTCTTTGAACAAAAACAACAATTAAACAACAACAACAACAACAAAACTAATGCAATCTGTAGTTTCAACTCTGCCTGCCATCAGTTAGCAACAATTTTTAATTCTTAGTCACTTTTTATCCCTAAACAAAAGCAGTTCTTGGGGAGTTTTCATTGTACACTAGCTGTTTCCTTCTTCACAAACCCACCAATTAAATCTTCCTGGCAGACACCTAACAAACATTTCTCTTTCCGAAGATCCCTCCTTGCTAATTCAGTTCTTCTTCCACTCAATAAATAAAAATACTTGCTTGTTTTGTCTGATGATGCAGAAATCATCATACAGTGGAATTGTAGTGTGTGAGCATCTATGAAGTTCTTACAAAATGTTCTAAATCACCAATGCTCAGGGTTTTTCCAAAAGAGTATAAAATTCATTCACAATTAAATATACACAATATTTTAATTCCATATTACTTGATTCACAATCTCTGTGTTTCTGTAGCTCTTACAAATAAGAGTCTCCCGTTTTGGAAACTAGTCCAGAGGCAACGTATAACTAGTACTTTAAGGTCGAATGGGTTAAAAGGACAGAAAGATTACATAAATGGTCTTTTTGCAACTTTTATTACACTCTAGATTCCTAAATGCTGCATCTTAGTATGTTTGTCTACAGAGCTCTTAGTAATCATTTGTATTTATAAAGTAATTTATAGTTTACTACTCAATTCACCTGCTTTGTGATTCTTTTTATTATTATATTACAGTTGATTATTTACTTGAATACCATTCAGCTTTCTTTCTTTCTTTAACTGTGGATTTTCTACCCCTTTCTCATCTTTGGTTTTAGACAAATGTTCATTTGATCTCAGATAATTGATTATTGTTATAAGAAACATGCTCCTCTCAAGTTTTATTAGTTATTTTAGGGTCCTGTCTCTTGTCTGGCTGAAAGGTGGTCTCTGGGAATGGCTTCAGTTCCAGGTCAGAAGGGTGTCTTAGGTTGAAGGTTCCTCCAAGTTTCAATCATATCACTAACACTGATTTTTTTTCTGTGGGTTGATTTTTGGTTCTACATTTTTCTCCTGCTCTGAGATCAATGCTTAGTTTTATCACAACTCCTGGCAAAAGGCTGGTTTCTTGCCATCCTTTATAATACTCACTTCTTCTTTCAGAAATTAGGTCTTTTTTAACCTAGCTCTATCAGTGAAAAGACACTGGCTGTATGGTACAAGAGACCACTGCACATAAGTCAAGTACAACTGGAAGGATCATTCTTTCTCAAGTTATCAGTTAGAGTAAATTTTACTTGCTATAAACATAAAGTTTATTATTTTTTTAACCCTGCAGAACCAAGAACAAGGAAAGCACACAATGACTGACAGGAGAAACAGCACATAACCTATTATAAAAGTGCAAAATGAAACACTTACATGGGATTGCAGATATTGTGGGAAAGACTGAATGAGATGGGAGTTTCAGAAGGAAAATCACTGTGTGGGACACTGTCTCCTGCATTAAGAACACATTATCACAATGTAATTCAAACACTCGAAATATCTGGGATTAAAATGCAGCCTACTAATATCAAGAATTTATAGTGAGGGAGTCGCAGCTCACTTTAAACTGGCATGTGCACAATCAGTAATGAAATTTCAAAAGGACTTTTATACTTTATATTCCCATTGAAAATGTAATGAAATACAACATTTAAACTCACAAGTGGATAAAACACTAAACGGACTACGAGGTCGGTTTGAACCACAAGGCTGATGGCTCAAATTCGCCAGCCACTCTTTGGTAACCCTCTACAGGGTCACTATGAATTGGAAACAATTCAATGGCACTTAACAACAACAACAACAATCACTGACAACAACAATATATTGAATTATGGAGAAAAAGCTAAGTATATTTTTAATGAGAGTTTTTTCCTGATAAAAGAAATAGTTAGTTATATAATGATAGTCCCTCCCCCCCTAAGGTCACAAAAGTATTATATGTTAATTGTAGGTAATACAGACAGTAAATAAAAGTTTAAATAAGTAGAAATCTTTTTTTATAGCATTATCAACATTCAGATATATTTACTCATAATCTCTTTCTTGTGTATGTGTATATGTGAAAGATAAACATTTTAAATCAAATGAAGATCATAACCCATACAAGGCACCTCAGTGGCACAAGTGGTACTTGGCTACCAACCAAAAGATTGGCAATTCTAACCCACCCAATGGTGCCACGGAAGAAAAGACCTGGCAATGTGCTCCCATCAAAACGACAGTCAGAAACCTTAATGGAGCTCAGTTCTATCCTGGAGCGTTTGTCAGGGGTTGCTACTGGAGTCCCAGGCCAACTTGACAGCATCTAACAAAGCAGCAACAACTCCATATAAAAATATAAGGGTTAGCCAAAAAGTGTTGCTACAAAATCATAAAACCCTTTATTAAACTTAACAATCAAAATGTGAAGCTATTGTTTCTCCACATACTCTCCCTCTAGGTCCGTACACTTCTGAAGGCAGTGTCTCATGTCTACAACTCTTCACTGAAGAATTCAGTGCTCTCCAATTTACACCATACCCAAGACAGCAATTCTGGCATCCTCGCGGGACTCAAAATTGTTTTAAATATTCTTCGAGTTTGGGAAACTAAAAGGAATCTGAAGGGACGAGATCAGGGCTGTAAGGTGGATGGGGTAAAGGCTTCCTGTTATTCTCATAGGACAACTTTTGGCTACCCTTGAAGAATGAGCAGGTGCATTGTCAAGATGGAAAAACATTTCTTGGTTTCCTGGCCTTTTCCTAACCTATGCACGTTTTCAGCTTTTAGTAAAACTTCTTCATAACAAGCTCCTGTGATTGGACGTCCCATGTCCTTGAAGAAAATCTGTCATGATCACCTCTTTAGAATTCCCAAAGTCACCACAACTTCCTGAACCAACCTTGAAATGGTCCAGCAAATCCCCCCAGAAGCCAGTGTTTTGACTGGACCTTTCTTTTTGTGAAGATGCCATGGTGTGACTAAGACAAGTGTATTATTGAGAGAACTTGTCTGGAGCCATCCGCTGATTGCAGACACGTTTAAACACGTTTTGTTGGAATAAACCAATACACATGTGAACTGGAATCCTAGTAGCAATACTTTCTGTCTTACTCTCATATAGATCTTATTATGTTGTTCAGTTTTCTCATAAGGGAAGGAAGGTTGTAAAGAGACAGAGAGGGAAGGAGGAAGGCAAGGAGGAGAAAAAAAGCACGTAAATGGGGCTTGTAGCAAAGTACGGGCATACCTCAGAGGTATTGTGGGTTTGGTACCAGATCACAGAAAGAAAGCAAGTAACATGAATTTTTGGTTTCCCAGCGCATATAAAAGCTATGTCTACATTATACTGTAACATGTTAAGTGTGCTACAGCATTATGAAAACGTTTCCAAAATTACCAAAATGTGACACTAAGTGAGCACGTGCTGTTGAAAACCTTGCTCAACACAGGATTGTTAAAAAACTTTCCCAAATCTGCTCTCCACATGTTCTCCAGGAATGTTATCTCCTGGGGGCGCCGAGAGGAGCCCATCCTGGGGAGCAGGAGGGTGGTGTAAGAGGAGCTTCTCTGGGTGCTAGAAGGCAGATCTAGACATTACACTGCATATGGAATGGACAGCAGAAAGGCAGGGTGGCCAGAAGCCCTGGGTTCATGCTCACCAGTGGGTAGAAAGTGCTGAGGGCCCACCGTGGGCTTCTTGTCCCCGTCAGAACTGCTGGTGCTACTCCAGCTCCCCCAGCTGCCCCGGCTGGCACGCACGCTCCCAGAGGAGCTGCCACAGTCTGAGCTAGAATCTGAGCAGAACTTTTCCACACATTTCTTCTCTGGCTTCCGGTAGTAACCCTCTGGAGGAAGTAAGAAAGAAGAATGCACGGGTTTACTTACATGAATTTCAACTGTATGCGTCTCTCAAAAATGGATAAAGGTAAAATGATGAAGAAGATATGGTCTACATTCAGGGTCTCCTCTCTGGCCATTAGTGGTAGGCACTGTTTGTGTAGGATGAGAGTATTTCTACTCTGCCCCTGGGGTGGGCAATTAGAGTTGTTGGGGGTAAAGACAGTCAATACATTATAACCTTGTTTAAAATACAGTTCTCGAAATGACAAACACTTCTATCAAACCATTAGCTGGAATGCTACTTTGCACAACTGGGGGTTTGAGAGTAATTTCCGTCTCTTTTATTAAGATGTCCACTGAAAGTTTCAAATGCTTGTGTGTGGGGGGAAGAACCTCAAATGAGGCCAAAAAGCAACATGTGTGTCAAAGGAATGAAAACCAAAGGACAGAGAGAAATCAGTTAACTCTGTGCAAGAACTGGCTGAGGGGGCAAGGGTGAGAGCCTGAAGAAAGCAGATGTTGTGAGGATCACAAAGTGACCTTACCACCCCCCCAACCCTCACCCCGATCCCACATGTACTATCAACATCAGCGGTACATTTGCTTCCCGCTATACTCCGCCCTGGAGTCCTCATGTGGAGCTGTAGGATAAACACTGGACAGTAGTCAGTTTGAACCAGAGTCACCAGTTCAAACTCACCAGCCACTCCTTGGGAACCCTATACAGGGACCCTATGAATTGGAATCAACTCAACAGCACTTAATAACAACATACTCTACCCTACCCAAGACCTAGCATTCACCGCTCTTCTACCTCCCATTCCCAAGGACTCTGCGTAGCAGCCCTCATGTGGGGCAGCATCTGGTTCTACAGGAAGTACCTGGCTCAGGTGTGGGGCTGGCACTCTTCCTCACTGGATATCCCCCTAAGGCCCTTTCACCAAGGGGTCCTCTGTCTAAAGAAAACAACCACTGTTCCAATATACATCAGGATTGCTGGGAACCACTGACTTTACAGGAGGCAGAAGTGCTACCTTTTCCATCACTTCACATGCATGTGAAAGTTGGACCATGAAAAAGGAAGACAAAAGAAGACCTCATGAATCTGAATTGTGTTAATAAAGAATACTGAATATACCGTGGGACTGGCAGAAGAACAAACAAGTCCGAATGGAGGAGTCCAACCAGAATGTTCCTTAGAAGTGAGACTCTGGCTTGCTTACCTTGGACACATCATCAGGAAAGACAGTTTTCTAAAAAAGGACATAATGACTGGTAAAGCGGAGGAGTTGGTGGAGGCAAGGGAGGCCCTTGGTGAGACGGGTGGATAGCGTGGGCTCAGACATCGGATTGATTATGAAGACCAGAGCAGGGCCAGACAATATTTAATTCTGTTATACATACAGTCACCATGGGCAGAAGCCAGCTGGGTGACAACTAACCAAAGGTATGACACCAGAGGCCTGCCCAGGCTCAGGAGAGCCTCAGCTTTCTGGTCTCATCCTGACAGCTTTCCATGCGTACTTTAGTAAACTAAGTGGTCTATAAAGAGACAGTCTCACACTGGATAATCCTTCCTGGAGAGAACAAAAACTCCAACAGAGGTACCATTCCGAGCTCCAAGTAAATACGTACCTGCCTTTCCCTGTGCAGCAGGTACGCTTCCAATTTCAGCATCTGTTTTACAAATCTCCCCAGTGTTTTCCTGTACACACCAGTTTCTTAGCTCCACGTCACTACTCAGCTCTGACCTTTCCAGTTCTCTGCACACAAGCTTTAATTCATTCTGTTCAGAAGGCCTGCAACAGCCACAAAGAAATCACATCCATATTTTATCATGCAAATAGATATACTTCTTTCCCAGGAGACTTTCAGAGGTGAAAATGAATCTGGGACACTGTGGGGACTCCTCTTTTTGGGTCTGGTAGGAGGCAATGATGAGTAAGAAAGGGTACTAATAATAAGAATAAAAGGTGCCACTGGTTCAGAATTAACTTAGAGCTCATTTAATCTGTCTTCTTACTTTACAGTGAGAAGACTAGGATGAATCACTGAAGCTTAAATGGCAGGAGCCCAGGATCAGAACACAAGACTCTTAATTGGTTTCCTTTTTTTTGGAAGTGTAAAATATTTTCAATAGATGAACTTGTCCTTTGGTGTCTAGGGGAAGGTTGTTGTTGTTAAGTATCATCAAATCAGTTTCTACTCATAGTGAATAGGGTCTCCGAGGAGTGGCTAGTGGATTTGAACTGCCAACCTTGTGGTTCAAACCCATCTTGCAGTCCAATGCTTATCCTACAGCACCACACTATTCCATATTAATTTAAAGACATTCTCATTCATTCCTTTCCAAAACATTTATTGAGTGACTATGCATACCATATATTGTTATAAGAGGTGCAGAGACTACAAAAAATAATAATAAAGTTCTTCCCCCAAGTAATGGATGATTAACAGAGGTGGGGGAGTCGAAAAATAACTCTTATTAGACTGAACTTCTTGAGGGAAGACCTGTAATGAAATTTTCCAAGTGGCAATATAGAAACGTGCAGCGAATGCTAAGGGATTAACTACTCATTTCACACAGTCCAATTTCAACACCTAATGTTAGGTTTATAGGATGGCAGGTAGGAAGATTGGATATGTAGGACGTGCCAGATGATTCTGCCAGTGTGCAGTCAAGTATGCAAACAGAAATAAATCCCAGGTAAATATACAATCCAACAATCATCCGCTTTTGAAACTTCATGTTCCCAAAACACTGTGATTAGCTACAATCCACTTTAAGTTTCTTTTAAACAATATTATCATTTCAGCATGTCAGAGGTATGTCAGCAATCTGCTTTAAAAACATAGACTGTAACATTTCCCTGGTCTGCTTTATTGTTCTATCTTTCTATATGTCCATATCAGGAAATGATACTTCCAAGTGACATCACAGTTCACCAAATTTTAACAAAAACCCTTGTAAAAGAATATCTCATGGTTTGACTGGTCTACAGGATACTACATTGTGGCTCTCAAACAACTTAGGGCTAAATAAGGAGCCCTGATAGCAGAGTGGATTACGAAGGGCAGCAATTCAAATCTAGCAGCCACTCCTGAAGAGAAAGATGAGATTTCCTGCTTCTGTAAAGCTGTGCAGCCTGGGAAACCATACAGGGTCACTGTGACTCAGAACCAACTTAATGGCACATCATCAACCACCACCACCAAATAAGGAGAATTATCAATCCATGATCAGAATACAGTAGTAACAATAAATACTCCAATAATGGTATAGTTGATTTCTTTGTTAGATGCCTTTTGCTTATTGTGAGCTAGGTACCTTGGAGTTGCCTGACAGTTCTCCAGTAGAGAGCATGTGAAAACTGCTGGGAGCTTATCACACTGCTGATCACAAGCCCCATGAAGGGGCCCAGAGACACATGCAAACACAAGCACGTCTGTGCTGCCGAGGCAGGCGGTCCTGGCCAGCAAAGGCTGCTTGGCTAGAGGTCCTTTCCAACTGCATGTAAAACTGCAGTTAAGGTGGCACCCTTTCCCCATACAAATTTGGAACTGCTAGAGAAAAACTCATCAGAAACACACCTCCATACCTAGCTGTGCTCCTAAGAAAGAGAATTTTCCAGATACCAGCACACAGCAGCAGAATAAAGGCAGAGCAGTGAGGATGGAGGGGTTACTGGGTGAGAAGCAAGCTTCAATGCCAAGGAAAGCCTTTCATGCCTGCTCATGGGCAGCCACGGGAGTGAGTGCGCAGGTGGAAATGAGTGTCCTAGAAGGTGGCAAGGTAGACCTGAGAAGCCCCACCACCAGGGAGAAAAAGTAGGGGAGTTCCTCTCTGCTGGGTGCTAAGGGGTTCTGAGAATGTAACATAAGTGAAAACTCAGAGATGATACCATCTGGGTTGATTTGCAACCAAAATACACATGCTACTGACCTGATCAGAATCCACCCTGAAATGACTCAAGAGGGTAGATTCTTCTCTAACCCTAGCAATAAGGGATTCCCCACACAAACCCAGTCCAGCCCCTCCACTTTTCAAAGAATGCAAATGTAAAGAGATGAAAGTGCATCCAGGAAGCAAGGAGTCCATAGTAAACTGTCAGCTGCCTGGTTCCCATCCTGGCTCTGCCCCTCACAAACTACATGGCTTTAAGCAAGTCACTTAATATTTGGAAGCTCAATTTTTGCAGCTGTAAGAACCTACTTCGGGTTACAAACATGAATGGAGACTATTCTATTTCATTACTATTGCTCCAGGCCGCCCAGATGGATCAGTGGTCAAGCTGGGAGTAGGGACCTGGCTGTGCCCAGGGGTTTTCTACAACACCTGTTCACATGACACAGAAATAGGCCATTAACACATTTGCATTTCACTGGCACAATGACAGTCTTAGCATGGAGGAATGTCTTATGCTTTTCCCCTAAACCCTTCTGTAGCTTTTTAACATTTTAAAAAGGAAAAGACAAAGAAAATCCAAGAAACTTCCCGCTAAAGTATTTAACAAAATAGAAAACATAAGCACTTATTTAAAGAATATACTTTCATCTCGAAGTACAAACATCTACAATGTCATATTGTCTGCACATCAACAGCAACAAGATTAAAAGAGATACATGCAGCATTAGAAGGTGAGAACGTCATCAGATTTTAAAGGGTTTATAAATGCTACACACCTTGAGAGCTGGGTAATGCCCCTTTTCTTGTTCTTTCTACATGTTCGATTTTTATTCCAATTTAAATTTTGCAAATTTCCTTCCTTTTTCTCCTGAAGCTTCTTCTTCCTATAAGGATCTTCTTGCTAAAGAGAAAAAAGAAACTTTTTAGTGGTTTAAACTGACAAAACATGATTAAAAATCTCTATGTTTGGGGTGGATTTTTGTTGTTGTTTTAAACTTTTGAAGATCAGCTCCATCTAAAATCAGAACTTTCCAGTACTTTTGAAAACTGAGACATATGTTTCTCAATCTGTTTTCATTTCCCTCCTTGACTATACCTCCTCCCTCAATCTCTGCAAAAAAAGAGAGGGAAAAAAAAAATGTTGCCTATAAAATTCTTAGGGGGCTAAAAAGGGAAAACATCTGCTAGCAATTTACAGCCAACTTGCCGTTAACTTCAGCAAGCAATAAATTCTCCAACCTCCACCTGTAAATTTGGTTTGTACAAACTCACATGAAATCTACTGGAAAAAAAAAAGATCAGGTAAAAGCCCAACTCAGGACAAGTTACTTATATATTCATAATTTTGTTTCTGGATGACTTTGAGGAGAACAACCAATCTTCATAGAATAATATTTATATCCATTTAAGTACATATATTTGGGGTAAATATGACAACATGCTTGTTTTATTTAAAAATAGTTTTAAAAAACTTAATTCACCATGAATTACATACCTATTATGTATATACATAAACTGCATATACTTGTGCTACATATGATACTATGAGGGTGTTTCAAAAGTTTGTAGAAAAATTCTATTGTCTTTCAATTCCATTTTTCCCACAAACTCTTCAGAGCCCCCTCATATGTACATATATAAAAATAATTAAAACTCGAAATTCTAAAGTATAAAAGGTAATACAGTTCATTGTTTACGAAGCATTGATTTTCTTTTCTTTTCTTTTTTTGTTTTATGGTGATGAACAACTTGGCAGCAGATATTGGTGATGGCTACCCAACAAGGAGCTCTGGTAGCGTAGTGGTTACGAATTGGGCTGTGAACCTTAAGGTCAGCGGTTCGAAACTACCAGCCGCTCCGCGGGAGAAAGATGAGGCTTTCTACTCCCGTAAAGATTTACACCCTCGGAAACCCTGTACAGGGTCGCTATGGGTCGGAACCGACTCGACGGCAGTTAACAACAACAACAACCCAACATGATAAGGAGCTCTGGTAGTGTAGTCGTTACAAATCAGGCTATGAACCTTAAAAGTCAGCAGTTTGAAACTACCAGCTATTCCATGGGAGAAAAAAGAGGCTTTCTGCTCCTGTACAGATTTACAGCCTCAGAAACCCTGTACAGGGTTGCTATGAGTTGGTTCTGACTCCATGGCACATAACCACCACCCAACATTACTGATTTATTTTGTACTTGGTGGCACTGAATTGGACACATGGCAAATGCTGAATTAGCAGATGTTGTGCTATCTATAGTTTTGCCATTTAAAAAGCTCATGGCTTTAAATTCTTCTCCTACTTATTCCTTCTCGGAAACCCGGTACAGGGTCGCTATGGGTCGGAACCGACTCGACGGCACCTAACAACAACAACAACAACTTATTCCTTCTCTTCCTTCCACCACCAACCCAAATGAAACCCATGGCCATCAAGTTGGTTCGGAACACAGCAACGCTCTAGGACAGTTTAGAACTGATCCCTGGGGTTTCCAAAGCTGTCATCTTTATGGAGTCTGGGGATGACACTGTAGGATAAGAACTACTGCTAACTGCAAGGTCAGCAGTTCAAACCCACCAGCCACTCCTTGGAATCCTGTATGTGGTTGCTCTGAGTCAAAACCAACTCAATGACATTTAACAACAACAACTTTTATCAAAGTAGACTGCCACATATTTTTCCTGTGGAGCAGCTAGTAGATTTGAATCACTGACCTCTCAGTTATCAGCTGGAGTGCTTAATCATTGCTCAACCAAGGCTTCTTGTTATATGTGTAGGATATTGAAAACCTCATGTCTCTGTTAAAGCTAACATACTTACCAAAACAAATAGAACACTTGAAACAAAACAAAAATTTAACTGTATACGTGATAGGATTATGGGATTTTTTTTTTCTTTCCTCTTTTATGTACCCATCAGGACATTTCCCTAACAAGTATGTCTTAACTTAGTTTCTGATTCTGAAAACATTTCACAAGTAGGATAAGTTAAACACACAAAGCTTTATCTAATACAACTTTATGCTGAAAGTTTAAGTTTGATGCCAAACAACACATTAAAGATTTACAAACACGATCCAATGTTAATCATTAGATAAACATCACATTTATTTATGTATTGTTCCCTTGTGTATTTCCCACCATTAGAAAAGAAAAAGTTTTCTGTGAATAAATCACTTCCCTTGGTCTATCCTCTACAGTCAAGAGCCAAGAAAGGATTTCAACCCAAGTATCTGAGGCTTCTTATCCTACCAAGGTCATACACAAAGAATGAAATCAGCCTCCAATAAAGTCAGAGAATGGGTGCCCTGGTCAGTAGTCATTCTGATGCTTGGCTGTCTTTCTCAAACCAATCTGGTTAGACATTCTGTGCAGGCAAGAGGGCAACTATATCTAGGACTGCTGAGTAAAGAGATTTTCTGGTCAAAAGCATCACTTTCACTGTGAGTACCAACAAGGGAAAGACAGTGCTGGACAAGCTATTCTCAGAGTATGAGTGACAAGATCAAGAAAGAGCTCATAAACAAATGAGGTATGGAAAAGAGAGCAAAAAGATGACATAATGAGGAATGAAAATCAACTGGGTGTTCTTCCTTGGAGTAGGCTTTAGAGAAGCAACATCCCAAGCCTTGGAGAATGAAGAGAAATTTGGCAGGAGTCTTGATGGTTCTCCTTCACAATGGGATTGGACACAGAATCCAGAAACAAGATAGCAGCAATCAGATGAGAGATAAACAGGTCTGACAGAGTGAGTGATGGAACAGATAAGGGCATGCAAAAGAAGGAACCAAAACCAAAGCAACAGACTTGTTAATAAATATGAGGACAAATAAAGAGATGTGTTGCCTATTTGGTTTCTGAATTTTACATACAGGAAGGAGGGATTAACCAGGAAACTGAAAAGAAAATTATTTACCACTGTAAGGGAGTAATTCATTACCATGAAGAGTCACAGTTACAGAGAGCTCTGAGGCCAAACTTTTTACAGTTGCTGTTGAGTTGATTGTGACTCGTGGCCGGACCCCCTGTGTGTCAGAGTACAACTGTGCCCCACAGAGTTTTCAATGGTTGGTTCTTCAGAAGTAGACTGCTAAACCTTTCTCCTGAAGGACCTTTGGATGGATTCTAACCTCTAAACTTTAGGTTAACAGTCGAGCGTATCAACCAGTTACACCATCACTTAGGAACTCAGGCAAAATGATCTGGTTTGAATCTCACTCCTCACATACTAACCAGGAATTCTTAAGGTAGTTAGTTAGCCTCTCTCTCTGTCTGCGTCAGTTTGCTGATGAACCTTTTTAAGAGGGTTGTTGTGAGGATTAACTTATCTAGCACAGAGTGGTGGTGGTTATGTGTCTGTACATCGGAGTCTGCATATCTTTATAGGAGCAGAAGCCTCATCTTTCTCCTGTGGAACATCTGGTGGACTCGAACTGCTGACCTTACAGTTAGCAACCCAACCATACCCTACCACACCACTAGGGCGCCTTTGGCATAGAATAAGCAGCTGATGAGTTAAGCGAAGATCATCGTTATTTTTTTCAAATTCTTTGAACTAGTCAAGTCCTTTGATCATCCTGAGAAAGGGATGATTGCACTGACTGTGGATGAGGGAAAGATATCCTAAATTTTAAATACAAGGAAAATAAGAAATAAAAGAGAAATCAGACTGACTATCCAAGATATTCTTAAAGCCATTGAGCAAAAGTAAAATCAACTATAAAATAGTGTAAACTAAGAAAAAAGTCTGATACACAATATCTGATAAAGAATTAAAACACCTTCACACATAAAACGTTCTTACAGGTATTAAGAAAAAACACTAATACTAAACAGAAAACTCAACCAAGAACATAAAATGTGCATTCACAAAAGAAATCTACAAAGCCAAAAACACGAAAAACTCACTCAAAATGAATGTTCATAATAAAATGCTTTTAAGAAACGGAAGTTACAGATCAGCTTGTATCTCATCATTCCACTTTGGTTTTAAAAGCACAGATGTGTTTACACGCAGATTTATGTCTGCAAACACTAGAAAATAGATGGGAACGCACAGTGCTCTTGACAATGTCCGGCTTGGAGCAGCAGAAGTAGCATGGGATTGGACATTTACTTCTGAACTTACATAACTTTGTAAGTGGTGGGATTTGGGTTAGATGAGTTGTGCTCTTGAGACTTGCAGAGAAGGTGAAAGAAGAGAAAGGATCACTTTTCCATGGTCAGTGATACAAACTGAAATACTAAACACTATTTTTCCCTTATCATACTGACTATGAGAGGAAGCAACAGTTAAGTGTTTGGCTGCCAATCAAAAGGTTAGCAGTTCAAACCCACTACATGGGAAGATGGAGTTCTGCAGGATAAGCAATGAACTGCTTTGCTGCCTGCCAGGCTGGAAGTTCAAACCCACCAGCTGCTCCTTGGAAACCCTGTACAGGGACTCTATTAGTTGGAACCGACATGAAGTACACCAACACCAACACCAACACAGGAGAAAGACTTGGTGATTTGCTTTCATAAAGATTATAGCCAAGAAAACCCTCAATGGGACATGTCTAAACTCTCATGGGAACCTTATGAATCAAAGTTAACTCAATGGAACCCAAACAGCAACAGCAACACTTGTTTGTTGTTGTTGTGAAATGCCGTTGAGTCGCTTCCGACCCATACTGACCTTTTATAGGGTTTCTGAGGAGCAACTGGTGAACTTGAACTGCCTACCTTGCAGTTCAAATGGCTTTGCAGTCTGGTGCATTAACCCACAGCGCCACACCAGGAGTCTAACAGCAACATGTTGTTGTTGTTGTTGTTAAGTGCCGTCGAGTTGGTTCCGACCCATAGAGACCCTGTACAGGGTTTCCGAGGCTGTAAATCTTTACAGAAACAGAAAGTCTCATCTTTCTCC